TTCCCTCCCTCCTCTCTCTCTCTCTCTCCTTCTCTCTCTCTCTCTCTCTCTCTCTCTCGCTCTCTCTCTCTCTCATTCCTTTTTTCCTTTCTCTCCGTTCTATTGCGCCTTCTTTCCTCGTCTTAATCCCTTCCGTCGATCGTCATCGATGTCAATTGTTCGGCGGCCGCCTTTTTCTCTTTTTGTATCCTCTCTCTATCTCTCCCCCCGTTCGTTGCAAGTTATCGATAGTGTATGTACAAAGTGTCTTGGGCTTCTTGGATTAGGAAAGATTGAACAAAAAAGTGTTCCGAGAAGCGTCTAGATCGGGATTGTAGGAGAGAACAGGTGAATCGATCTTAACCGGTGGACTCCGATCGGGGGAAGAGAGATAGAGTGAAACCAATTTAATTAACAGATGCTGATCTTCAGGATACGGAAGCCGGGCTCTGGACAACGTCTCGACGACAAAGTCTCGGAGACGACGGTCTTCTCTCCTTTCCGCTTGCCGCCGGACCAGAGGCATCGAAAACGAGAACGCTATTACCGCCACCGCGGGGAGACACGGCGGCGGTGTTGCTGACGACTTGGTGTGCACGCGCGAGGTATTAGTTGGCCACGAGCAGATGCTGATACTGGCTGGCCGGATAGGGCGCGACCGAGCCGAGGCCGAAATTGTTGAGGCCCTCGACTAGGGCGTTCTTGTCCTGCTGTTGCTGCGCCGCGGCGGCCGCGCCGGCGTTGACGTTGCCGTTGGTTGTCGCGGAGCCAATCGGACCGAGATTACCGGTACCAGCGCTACCGGCGCCTTGGGTACCGGCCCCGGCACCAGTAGTACCGTTCACGGCACCGCCAGTGCCGGCGCCGGTGCCGTTCATGCCGCCGCCGTAGAATTGATGGCCGGCCAGAGTGGTTGGGTCGAGGTACGATGACGGAAACTTGGTACCGGCGTAGAGATCAGCCGGCAGGTAGCCGCCGTGGCTCGCCGACGAGTCGAAGATGTTGCGGTGGGGGAACTGCGCGTGGTACGCCGCCGCGGCCGCAGCCGGGCCGTGCTGGAAGAAGTACGCGCTCGGATCTGCGTGTTGCTGTCCGGCACCGGCGACTATGCTGCCGGGCGATAGGCTACGACTACGCGGCGAGCTTTGCGAGACCGGCAATCCTGCGCCAGTCGCCTGTTGCTGTTGCTGCGGCTGCTGCTGCTGCTGTTGCTGCTGCTGCTGCTGCTGCTGCTGCTGCTGCTGCTGCTGCGGTTGCTGCTGCGGCTGGTGCTGCTGTTGCTGCTGATGATGGTGGTGGTGGTGAATCTGCTGCTGCATCGCTGCGCGCTGCTTTATATAGTTCGAGAACTCGGTGGGCGACATCCTGAAACCGAGCGGTACCGTGCGGTTCATCAATGACTCTGTGTGTAGGCACACGCGTGTATGGATCCGGGAGTGGTAAATCGCCTCGCGGCTTGGTTAGTACGCGGATTTTCTTTTGTCGTACTTGTATGTATCGGAATACGGAATAACGCGCGCGCGTGCTAGGATCAATTCCTATGGCAATACATGATCATCTAGATCTCATGATTCGTTGTGCATTATTCTTTAGCTTCGGGCATGCTTATCTGCTTCTACAATTATTCTACGATTATCGATCGCTGATTATCGAACGATCCACTATTCACCTAAAGGCGATCCCACCGTTCAATTTGTTTTTATACCGCGGGAACTGTGAGTAGCATTAGTTTTTAAACCGTGGGTAAATACGTGAGGGAATACCTGAGACAATTGCAAGCAGCATTCCACGAATACACATACAGCTTATATTATCTACGAAATCCAAGGAATGCAAGTAACGCAGCAAAAAAATGTAATACTTAATTTCTGCGATATTTTCTGTTTATATATTCACAATTTATAAATTAAAATGTTCCGTGATATTGGTTTTACAATCCTCATAAGTAACAACAAAGATTTTACGAGAAATTTCTATCTGTAATTATTTTCATCGGCATTATTTTCGTTAGCATAAGGAATAATTATTTCTGTTATATTTTTTCGTCGCGTAAACTCGATATAATTGTTATATAATTTGGAAAATTACTATTACTATTCGCATCGATTAATTATATCACATCTAACAAACAAATACGATTTTATTTTCACGACGACAAGACAAACGGAGAAAATTAAGACAAACGAATATTGTTTTAAAGATTTGTAAGTAAGCTTTAACGATAGTAAGTAAAATTAAAATCTCGAGATCGGAAGGAAAGATCAAATGATGTGTGTACGAACCTGTTAGCGCGTTTGCTGCTAGTCTTGAGCTTAGTGCTGCCAAACTTGGTCTGGGCGAAGGTGGCGGTAGTGAAGGTGAGTGGAGCGGTGGTACGCGGGATAAAGGCCGGCACGGGACTAGGCGAGCCCTTGAAGGAGCTGGTAATGGGCGTGGGCGAAGGCGCAGACGAGGAACCGGATCCGTGGCCGTTCTGTTGATTATTGGACGAGCTGTTGCTGGTGTTGCTGCCGAGGGAGCTCGAGAAGGGCGAGGTGGACTTCGGGCTGAGACTCAAACCGCTCAAGGATGTGCTCACGGCCTCGATCGGCCTGAAGCACTGCGCCTCTGGATTGAAAGTCTTGGTGACCTCACGGTCGGCTGAGGTCTCGTCGTGCGGGTCGCCAGTCTCTGAATAAAGGATCTTCACGGCGTTCAGCTCACCGATGCGGTAGCTCACCTCACCGGGATCGACCCAGACGGCGAGCTCGGCCGGCAGGTTCTCCAGGATATCCTGAATCGGCACGCCGCTTTCCTTCGCGGCGCGCTCCAATACGGGATCTACCGGATCGCCGGTCTTGAGGCACCTGAAGGCCGAGCCCTTGAACGGCTTCTCCGGATACCAGTGGCCCTTGAACTTGTCCTTGAGCGCCTTCTCGAGTTCCTCGCCGAAGATGTTGACCCGTCTGCGCGGCAGTTTATTATAGAGGTACGATATCACGAAGTTAAGCGCCACCTGCACCTCGATATGCATCTTGGCCTTCGGTGGAAAAATCTTTGGGCTGTTGTCGTCGCACGTAGCGGCCGCGCCGAGATAGCACGATCGGCCGTCTTGCCACGAGCGGAAGATTGTTCCGGGTGATGGTATGCCTGGATAACGGAACTGCCGGAGCTGCTCTGACGGCGGCTCTGGCGGCGATTTTTCAGTGCGCGTCAACTACTGTCTTGCAAGTCACACAAATCGCAAATGTCCAGAGATCTGCAACATTCACATAGAAGGACTGTGATCAGAATAAGTAGCTGTAGCATAATATTGATTACATCTTTAAGATTTATCACAAAAAAAAATTGTTAATTTCGTTTTAATATAAATTAATTGATCGCCCTCCCTCTCTCTCTCTTTCTCTTTCTCTATTACACATTACACAAAACTCCTATTACAGTTGACAAATTCCATGCAATTTCGATTCAATCGTAAACGTACTTCGAGCTATCTATTCTACTCCTCGGCTGCGAATCTTAATTACGGTCCCCGACTCGCAAATGAACGGCGAAGTTTGTCGACTACCGAATGGGAATATTATCGCGCGGAGCGGCGCCCGCTCGTACGCATTATCAGAGGCCAACAATAGCTCGTACGCCTCGCGCCACTTCGAACGTTCTCCTTCTCCCGAGTTGCATGCAAAGATCGAGGTGTTTCCCTCGTTCGTGACGGGGATTCCGCGCGGGAAGTGCGAAATCGCGTCAAAGGAACTTCGACTATCTCGCCTAGAAAAGGGTTTGCCTCGGTCGACGAGCGCGTTATCGGTTCACAAGCGAGGCTCACGCATTGAAATGGAACGCGGCTTCCGGTTACTCGTTCCGTTTCTCGACCCTGCACACTCAAGGAACCGAAACAGAGTCAGCTGGATCGTTTCCTGCCGTCGTTTTCGTCGTATGGAGAAAGATAATGTCTCCGACGATTTGCGTGATCATCGACAAAAAGCGGATTTTCCGAGGATCTCTCAAGGATTGCTCCCATTCATAATTTAGCGAAGAATCCGCCAGTTCTCTCATTATCTCTCGTACATAACACAATTCGTTTCGCATATTTAAGTTTTATAATAATTTAAAATCATGTGCGTGTTGATGAAGCTACTACACGGAAAGAACACTTTTGCTGGCAAATCTAAAAATTTGGCTAGATACAGATCTGAAAACGATTGTGTTGGGCCTTCAAAATTATTATTACGATGTTCAAATTGATTGTTAGAAGATTTCAAACATTTTTGCAGTATTATCATCATTTAAGCGTTCTACAAAATAATTTTGATGGGCCGACAAAATTATTTTCAGATCCGTATCTGGTCAAATTTTTAGATTTGCCAGCAAAAGTGTTCTTTCCGTGTATAGAACCATATTATAAATGAAGAATGAAATAATAACGTAGAACGTTAGTCTCATGAAGTAATGCATTGCGCTAAATAAAATGAATTAATAAAATGTTAAACGAGTCGATCAAGAATCCAAACAATTCTCATAGAATTGCAATTAATTAACTATCGATGCTAAAACTGATATATGAATTGCTTTGAGTCTTTTACTTGATTTCTCTTACAACCCGACTTATCGAAACTCAAATATGCGATATTATTTATTACGGTAGGAATTTTATACGTTTATTTCATCTCCATTTTCGCTACCGTTACCAAGTTTGAACCAAGCTTTCGCAATCCCATCCTCATTCTTTTATGTTCTGTCGTGTTCTTTTACGTTCGAGGCTGTTTACGCGCGTCGCCGAGCGCTCGTCGCGTAAATTATGCACGCCGTGAAAGTGACACGCGCGTCATACGACGCTGGCTGTATAAAAATGTCCACGTCCGCAAACAGTCGTGTGACGCAAACAAGGGGGAAGAAAGGGAACCGGGGTGAAAGGTGATAAAAGGAATTGCTCTTAGAAGCGACGAGATTGCGCGGGCGACTATCCGCCATTTGCGAGTGCCGTCGCAATTGCGGAAGTCGCTCCTTCTCTGAATGGCACCGAGAGCGAAAGGTGTTCTTTCCTCGATTCTCTAACTCTTTTCTCTCACTTCCCCTCCCCTCTTTCTCTCTCTTCCTTTTTTCTTTCTTTTCTCGCAAATAAAGATTCTTGGGCGTCTATCAAGGACTTCTTCGCGAGTACCGGGTATATCCGGCGACCTCGAGCTGGAAATCTCGGAACTCGATCGCTCGTCTTTCTCTGGCTTCTTTCTTTCAAGGAGGGAGAAACGAAGCTCGACCCGAGATAGAGAGGAAAAGGAAGGAGAAAACCGCAAAAAAGTTTTCACGACTTTCGGGCCGGTGACCCTCCAAAGAAGCAAGACTTTACCGCTTCTATCGCTTACCGCCGAGTTCTTTCACCTTACATGGATTTTATTGCTCAAAGCTCCTTTAAAATACACATTATCTATAAGAAAAAAACATACAAATATATTACGCTTCGAATACTCAAAGGCACAATCTTTTATGCATATTGTTGATTACCAATTTAATATTTAATTTCATTTGCAGAAAAAATTTAATGAATTTACAATCTAACAGACAGACAGACAGACAGCAGACACACACACACACACACACACACACACACACACACACACACACACACACACACACACACACACACACACACACTAAAAATTCTTTTCCTGGAGATAAGTTACAGCCAATTATTCGAGCTCTCTTTCTCCAGCGTGTGCAATATGTATATTCTACAAGAAATACACTCTAAAAGATATTTCCGGTTTTACCAATTTAAAGTAGCCGAATATAATTATTTAATGGAAAATAAGAAAATTGTATGTTTAATATAAATGTTCTAGGGATGGAGGCAATTTACATTTCGCGCGCAACGGCGCATGAATTACGATGAAATATTTCGACGAGGCAAGATAATAGAAATGGGTTTTCCAACTTTCTTATCGAAAAACATTTCGTTGCACTCTCGCGGTCTCGCGACTCGTTTCTCGCGGGTGGCTTTACTCAGCGCGCATCTGCATCGCGTACCCGCATTTTTTTCTCCCCTCCCTTAGCGCTTTCTGTACTTGACTCGGTGGCAAGTTTCCACTGGTGGGCTTCCAGCCAGAGGTGGCGGATATGTAGGTTAAAGTTAGCAGCGGTCTCTACTTCTAGCAGTAGTACACAACGACGAGACGGGGGTGGTTGTGGGTATTGATCCCGCGGCAGGGCTGCCGGAAGGTTCTCAGGTTAAAAATATACGACCTTGCGGCACCCGTGCCTGACCAAGTGCCTCATGAAGTGCCCGTAATTTCTGCCATCTTGATTTTCCCGCGATATTTCTCGACTCATAATGTTTATTCGGAGTTCCTCAAATGACATTTGCAAAAGCGCAACCGCATTGCACTTCGTTCTTCGTCTCTCTTCCCGTCTCTTTCTCTTTCTCGATTATCCGAGAAAGAGTTACCTCGTTTCGGTTTTAGTAAATTATATTTTAAACAAAGCAAAAATAAGACAGATCCAATTTTACGAAACTTTCGTCGCTGCAAAGTTATGCTAATCTTATTGTCGCTCACGTAATTATCTGCAAATCAATTCGCGACAGGTGTCAAAGTGTCAAAAGGATTTTTCTCAATCATTCTCTCTCTCTCTCTCTCGCGGGAGTGCAGTCGAGCTCGGGGGTGCCGGCGCCCTTTGTATTTACGCTGGACTGAATGGAGGTCACGTGGCAGAAGAGGTACTGGTATGTGGGCCGAAGATAAAGCGTCCTTCGGCGAACGAAGTCAATGGAGCGCTGGAGGGCGTCTCCGGTACAGCGGGGACTGATCCTTGATATTCTCGATGCAAAGCGTGGTGGGATAAACGTCGACACGCGATCGACCGAGACAAAGAAGCGGCGTATTACCCTGGCTAATTATCCGCTACTCTCTCGCGACGCGAACGGCTATTTGATCGTGTGTTGAACGCCGATCGATGCACTCGAGCGAGATATATCCACAACGACGTGAAATGTCGACGGTAAAGACAACGCGAACAAGGTGACTCCCGACGTCATCTTTACCAGTCTCGACATTAAGATGCCACCTCGATAATAGAGCCACAATTGCTCGTTGCACGTTAAACGCAAAATGTAATCGACGAAAGGATCATTGGCTTGGAATTGAAAAAGGAATTCAATTATTAACAAAAATATTTCCTTAATATTAAATATTAAAGTTAAATATGATTGTATCAGATATTTTTATACATTAGTCAGATCTATTGTGACAAATATATAAATAGGAATTTTTACCTATCGATCGAATTTATCTAGGATAATAGATTCAATTGCATCACGAGAAATGAATAAGTTCCAAAAATAATATGCCCAAAGTTCTCTGTCGGTAATTCCTTAAAAAGAAATTTATATTTACTGGAAGTTTTTATTAATAATAATGTATCTTTCTAAGCTCTTTGTCTTTCAATCAAGTGATACAGGTCAGCTAGTGATTATACATATATTATTCAAATAATAATAGTAAATTCAAATAATTAATAGTAAATTACTATTTATTTCTTAAAAAAGGCTTGTTACATCAATACTATGTGTTAGTACTATGAATATATTGAAGTTAATGTTGTCGTTTTTTCGTGATGCCAATTGATTCTCTCATTGCATTTACTTGGTGAACGGATGTCAGCAAAAGTTGTTTTGACAATTGTGTTGTAACAAAGAATTAATAATATAACAGTATTGTAACAGTATATAATTTTTGCTTCTTCTGTTTAAAAAAATAAATTGCGTGTAAAAGAATAAAAAAAAGTTAATTAACAAATAAATGAAACAGCCAGTATCCAGAAATATAAGCAACAAGAATAAAGAGAAAATTTAAGAAAATTGAGAAGAACCATAATTATAAACATTAAATAATCAATTTAAAAAATAAAAAAATAATTAAAAATTTCAGTAATAGAATTGTGATTAATTATAAATATATACTCCTTAATAAATAAGTTGTATAATATTATATAAGTGACGCGTTTCATTACGTTTCTTACGTATATTTTCTTGCATAGATTTTATTATTTT